CAGTGGAGCAAGAGAGACCAAAACCTAACCTGAGTTACATGAAACAAGACAGTGGTGGCTATAAAGGGAGTGACCAGGAGCAACTGAGATACTCCTTCACCAGTCACATCCAATGTATGTGCTTCACAGACAAAAATAACAAATCCACAAATTACAACAGCTAGATTTACAAAATCCATTCATCCAAGTGTATAAGGCAGGAAGGGGAGGTGGTGGTGGGGTAAATGGCACAGGGGGAAAAACAAGGTATTCAATCAATCCAGGTACAAGGTCCGGCAAATGTTAGAAAATAGCTACAGAAAAACCTCTGGTCCTCTCAGACTCATGGTGTTAAAAATCCTTATACTGGTGTCGGGAAGATTCTGCCTAAATGTACCAGAGACAAAATTCCACTTCCTCAGAGAAAAGGGAAATATGCAAAGGGCCCTTGGCAGAGTGGATCCTGCCTTCCCTGGTGTTTCAGTTATCTAGTGCTGCTACAACAGAAATACCACAAGTGGATGGCTTCAACAAACAGCAGTTTATTCTCCCACAGTCTAGTAGGCTAGAAGCCCAAATTCAGGGTGTCAGCTCCAGGGCAAGGCTTTCTCTCTCTGTCGACTCTGGATGAAGGTCCTTATCATCAATTTCCTGTGGTCTAGGAGCTTTTCTGCGCAGGAACCTCTGGTAAAATGACACGCTCTGCTCCCAGCGCTGCTTTCTTGGTAGTATGAGGTCCCCAACTCTCTGCTTGCTTCCCTTTCCTTTTATCTCTTGTAAGATAAAAGGTGACACAGGCCACACACTAGGGAAACTCTCTTTACATTGGATCAGGGATGTGACCTTAGTAAGGGTGTTACATCCCACCCTAATCCTCTTTAAAAAGTCTAATCTCGCCTCATTAACCACAGGCAGAGATTAGGATTTACAACACACAAGAAAATTACATCAATCACAAAATGGAGGACAACCACACAATACTGGGAATCATGGCCTAACCAAGTTGACACATATTTTGGGGGGACACAATTCAATCCATGACACCTGGGTAGGGGGAGGTGAACACAGAAAAGAGCTGCTACATCCTCCTTCCAATCCCACCCATCCCCTCTGGATGGAAGGTGGTCAGTGGCCTGCAGCAGCCTTCAGTTGGGCAGGAGATGGATGTGGTGAAGGGAACTTCTCTGCAGAGGTTGAGCTACTCAGAGCAGACTGCAGGTAGACTGTCTGTGGAAGAGTCTGTTGCTTAAAAAGACCACCAAGAAGAAGAGGCACAACTGAAAAAGGTATGCTTTGCCAGGGGTCTTTGGTTCATTGGTGCTGATAATGAATAAAGGAAAGAAGATGGAGAAGAGGCAGCCACTAATAATGTATGAGGATTGCATTGCTGTGAGGAAAGCCAAGGGCAAATCAAATTCAAAGCAGGAAGGCCAGTTCTTTTCTATGTTACAACTGCCGGTACATTTCAATTCCTTTACTGAACCAGCCAAATTCAAAGCAGTATAGTGAATACAGAAAGGACATATGCAGGAGACTAACCAGGTGATGGAGCCCTGGTGGCATAATGGTTAAGAGCTTGGCTGCTAACCAAAAGGTTGGCAGTTCGAATCCACCAGCCACTCCTTGGAAACCCTATGGGGCAGTTCTACTCTGTCCTATAAGGTCGCTATGAGTCAGAATCAACTCGATGGCAATGGGTTTGGTTTTTTAACAAAATGACCAACAAGATGGATGGGTAAGACACTCACAAATGTCTCCTGGATAAGGAAAAGAACCTGCAGCAAAAGGTTGAAGAGCATATCAACATTTGTTTTGCTGACACTAGGGAAGGGGTGAGGCTTCCTCCCTGATACCTCAAATGCTAGAGCAGCTACTTGGAACCAAATGGCACTGACAGCTTTGCTAAGCACAAACAGGGGGAGCACCCAAAGAGCACAGAAAATTGATGTGAGGAAGAATTCCAGCCACTACCAAGTATTTCCATGAAGTGATGGATCACCAATAATTTGTGCTGTTACAGACTGAAGCACAGGAATAAATACTCAGTAAAACAAGATGAGGCTAAATCAGAATACTCCTCCATTCCAAGCACAGCACAGGAAAATTCTATTAACAATACGTGGCTCACTCTGTTGCT